TACATCAGAATCTGAAAAATTCCTCGTTTTTTGTCCCCGGCAATATCGTCGACATAATACTCCTCTAGTCATTGTTAAAAGGTTTTATCGGGTCTCAACCCAACTTTTTTACTTTAAAACCCATGTAATAAAAACCACATGAAAATCGGCTGTTAACCGTGATTTTACCGGTCAAATTACCGGCTTCCATCAGTGAAAATTTACCGGAATTTACCGCGGTTACCGCTAAAAAATAAGCGGTTAAGCGGTTCGTCTATAACGTTTGACAAAAAGAGTGTTCCAAATCATCAATTAAGCTATTTTGAACATCCTTTTTTTGAACTTTTACATGTGATAAACATGCAAAACAAAAAAAAGCCGGTTTACCGCGGTTTTATCGGTCCGGTTACCGACTCCCATGTCAGTGTAATTTACTGTAGGAAGGATAAATACCGCGGTTTACCGCAAAAAATGATCCGGTATTCGCAACATGGGAAACCAGCAATTTTTCCAATTATCCATATAATTGTTCAAAAACAAAAAGGAGTTGTATTAAGAATCTTGACCTGTTAGTAGTACGAGAACTCCTCAATTTATATATTTCGGAACTAGGTAGGCACAAAACCAAATTCTTTTGTCCCATTCAAAATTTTGCTTAATTTCGGATCATATGACTTCAAGAACGTCGCTTCTATTCTGAAAGAAAAAAGGAGTCCTGCAGAACCCTTTTATGGCTCCGTAGCTCATGTGGAAACATTTCAAGTTCTGTATTAGAGTGCGAAACTATCAATAGTTCTGACCAACAGTACTGAACTTTTGAAGGTTTCGGGAAAAGATTCAAAACCATAAAAGGTCCTGTGTTGAAGAATACTGAACCGAAAGGGTTCTGCACAATGACACTGAACCTATTAAGATTCTGTGAAAAAGTACCGAGCCATAAAATGTTCTCTAGTCAAAAGTGCGGAACCCGACAGGTTCTGTCCCATGATGCTGAACTTTGCAAGGTTAGGCAAAAGAATCCTGAACCATAAAAAGTTCAGTGTACAATAATACTGAACCAGATATAATTCTGGGTAAAGATGCGGAACCATCAAATGCTTTCTATCTACAAGGGGAACTCAAAAGGTTCTGTCCCATGATACTGAACTGTTTAAGGTTCAGCAGAAAATTGTTCAACCATAAAAGATTCTGTTTCTGCAATGCTACACCGAAGAAGTTTTGTAGAATAAGACTGAACCTTGGAAGGTTCTGTCAAAAAATGATCCATTCTAAAAACAAATTCTCTACCCAAAAATACTGAAGTGGAAAATATTTTCTCATTTCTGCTCAATTCTTTAGGGTTTTACAGTTCAAACGTGTTGCCATAAAAGGCTTTGAGAGACAAAGTATGATGCAATGCAAGATATATTTATTATGAAGTCTTTTATCAAAATGTCGACAAGAAATATTTTTTCAAATGTAATTTAAAGTACATTCAGTAGAACAATTTTATTGCATACTTTCTTCTTTCTTTTACTCCATGATACGTTATTGTGCTCTAATGTTCGAGTTTTTCACCGTTCGAGAGTGCTTTTTGCACTTAAACCGTTGAGATGGGGTGAATTTTACTTTTGTTTTTACATTTTCACCTGTTTGTCATTCCCGGGAAAAGATTGAAACAAATCACCATAGTTTCCTCAACGCCTAGATAATATATGCTAAATCTGGTAAATAACTATAAAGGCAAATAATGCTATCATCCATATTTAGTAATCCAACTGCTTTGAGATAAATTACGACTACCCTCACAATTCGACGACGCTAATGAAGCTCCAATAATATTTTTAAGTATCGTATGCGGCAGCTATATATGATTTATTATCATATTATCGTTGTCTATCGTGTTTGTTCTAAAACACTCGTTAACGTCAACAAAAGAAACCATTCAATTAAACATGTAACACTATGAAATTATTCAGCCATATGATACGCAACTGATGTGCACACATGTCGTTGAACTTCACATCTTACAAAGAAGTTAGAGGATTTAATAAAAATCCATATGAATCCAAGGATATAGTCCAAAACATATACTTTCGCGAATACACAAATAATCGTATAGTAATAAGGAAATCCGTATAAGGCTATTATTATAATGATATAAATAAAACGATCAAGATATAAGAATGCAATCGTAAAGGCATGCTGAAAATAAAAGAATTGTAATGGTGTAGATATCAAGGCATGGATAACGAGATATAGCTATAAGATGCAGTATTAAGGCTAGAGAAATAAGGAAGTAGCTATAAGGCTACTGTCTAAAGCTAACTTTTTTTTTATTAAATTTCAAGAAAAAACGATTAAAAATAGCCATAATAATTTTAAAGTGTTGTAGTGATTGAGAACACCACAAACTTCTGGTTTCAGATGATCATTACAACTGATTTTTTCTTAAAATCACAGGATCGAACAATAAAAAACCTATAGCAATTCCCAGGTCGAACAGTCCGGCCTGGAAACGGCCGGTTCCGGGTAGTTTCGTTGATTTTGTGGAAGCAGTATTCCGGTTAGAAATTTTCCGGATTTTTTTCCGGTGATTCCCGATCAATTCCTGCCGGAAAGCACCTGAACTTGGCAGGAATTCGCCGGAAAAGTCCGGCCGTATTTTTGACCGGAATACTGCTTCCGGGTTCCAGCGATTTTCCGTGTTTTCCTGCATGATATGGTGACTTTCCCGCATATTCCCTCGAGTATCCTACGGGCACCGGTGGCCGGAATGATCGACCTGGGTTTCTCTTCTTTTGAAATTCTTCAAATAGATTGCATCCAAACGGTAAGTTTCCTTTCAGAATACAAACCTAATATCAAAATTTCTTTTTTTTTCGTTTAGATTTTTACAATTGTATCATTCCAAGGATAATTCACATTGAAGAATCAACAATTAATAACAAGATTTCGGTTTCTTTTAGATTCTTTCAATACATTTTGTCCAATCAGTAAGTTATATGCAAAAAATTAAAAAATTATATTAAGTTTTCATTGTTTGTTTTAGATTCTGCAAATAGGTTTTATTCAAATAACAAGCTTCATTTAAGAATAAAAAAGTTATATAGGAATATCGATTTTTTTCTCTTTTAGGTTCTTGGAATGAATTTTATTCAAAGGGTGAGCTACATTAAAGAATTAAAAACCTAATATTAATTTTTCCTTTCTTTTAGATTCCTCAAATGGATCTCAACGAATGGCTAAGTTACATATCAGTATTCGAGAAATAACGATGTGTCATTTTGATGTTTTTATGACAAACGACATGGGTTCGACATCTGTGTGACTACCGATATTTTTCAGATTCTTCATTGCATTCCCAGGTTGGCGAGCTTTGAAACCTTTTTGCAGTTTCTGATATTGCTTTGTGAGAAAGTACTGTAACTATTTGTTTCGGTTTAGAAGACTTTGAACACCAATATTCGGAAACTCTGAAAGGCTTTCAGACAGCGCCAAAATCGGAAAGGCTCCAAAGTTTTCCCGGAACTATACTTTTTTTAGGAAATATACAAATAAGGGTATAGTTGTAACGGTATAGATATAAGAATATAGTAATAAGGGTATAGTTGTAAGTGTATAGTTGTAAGGGTATAGATATAAGGGTATAGTTGTAAGGGTATAGTTGTAAGGGTATAGATATAAGGGTATAGCTTAAGGGTATAGATATAAGGATATATTTTAAGGGTATAGATATAAGAATATAGTAATAAGGATATAGTTTAAGGGTAAAGCTGTAAGCGTATACATATAAGGTATAGATAAGGCTAAGGATATAAAAATATCGAAATATGGATACAGAGATAAGGGAAATCCCAACGGTAAACCATTTAAATCATGGAACACCTTATACGTAGGACAGAACCTTTTTTTGAAGAAAATCACACATGGTTTTGTTATTTCTTTACTGGACCTTTTTCAGTCAGAACCTTTTTCGAGGGTTCTGCGTTTTATCCGATATCAGAACCCCTAAAGTGGTTCTGTAAAACTCCTTTTTTTCTTTCAGAGCACAATAACGTATCATGAAGAGAAGAAAGAAGAAAGTATGCAATAAAATAGTTGTAATGAATGCATCTTAAATTACATTTGAAAAAATATTTTCCGCCGACATTTTGATAAAAGACTTCATAATAAATATATCTTGCAACATACTTTTTCTCTCAAAGCTTTTTATGGCAGCACGTTTGAACTGTGACACCCTAAAGAATTGAGCAGAAATGAGAAAATATTTTACACTTCAGTATTTTTGGGTAAAGAATTTGGTTTTAGAATAGATCATTTTTTGACAGAACCTTTCGCGGTTCAGTCTTATTGTACAAAACTTCTTCGGTGTAGCATTGCTGAAACAGAACCTTTTATGGTTCAACAATTTTCTGCTGAACCTTAAACGGTTCAGTATCACGGGACAGAACCTGTCGGGTTCCCCTTTTGGATAGAAAACATTTGATGGTTCCGCATCTTTACCCAGAACTATATCTGGTTCAGTATTATTGCACACTGAACTTTTTACGGTTCAGGATTCTTTTGCGGAACCATGCAAAGTTCAGCATCATGGGACAGAACGTGTCGGGTTCCGTAATTTTGACTAGAGAACATTTTATGGTTCGGTATTTTTTCACAGAATCTTAATAGGTTCAGTGTCATTGTGAAGAACCCTTTCCGTTCAGTATTCTTCAACAAAGAACTTTTTATGGTTTTGAACCTGTTCCCGAAACTTTCAAAAGCTCAGTACTGTTGGACAGAACTGTTGATAGTTTCGTATTGTCATGCAGAACTTGAAATGGTTCCGCATGAGCTACGAAACGATAAAAGGGTTCTGCAGAACTCCTTTTTTCTTTCAGAGTACTAGCAACTACAAAAGCAAAGATGTACACTTCACCAACAAAATAAGACCTACGTTTCACAAATGCATTTGACTGACGTTTACTAATGAATTTTAGATTGTCATAGACATTCATTTAGGGAAAATGATGATATTTTTCATATTCGTTGTAATCGCAATGAGCTCACCAGCTCATGCTATATACTCATCCACACTTAGCTTAAGTTTACAAGGACATGAATTTCAACCTCAATATGGTTTTCAATTGATTTTTAATAATACAGCTCAAAGTCTATTATTGTGCGCCGCTGCATGTACTCAAAATCCACCATGCCGGACTTTTGATTATGATTCAAGTTCACACCGTTGTCGACTGTTCGAAGCGGATCTTACCAATGGAGCAATCATTGCTGTGGCTTCTCAAACGTCTATTGTTGGCAGTGTGATACTTTCAGCATCATTATATGCATCGATGTACAATCAATCTTGTTCAGCTTGTCAAGAAAATCGATATCAGACTTGTTCATCGACTACGAGCACGTGCCAATGTCCAGGGAATAGTTATTGGAATGGCAGCATGTGTCCATTACAATTATTTGCAAATGCAACTTGTAGTCAAATTGATGCTTGTCGAAGTGATCTTAATCTTAGTTGTATCATAAATTCTTATGGTGAATTCACTCAATGTTTAACAGGTATTAATTTATTTACTATTTTCCTATACGAAAACTTAAACACGGATAAAATATTTCACTTTTTCATAAAGTTGAAATGATGTTTTGATAGGCAAAGATCGTTCAGATAGAGAGAATGTCTGATTATGCATCGTTGAGATTCAATGATGGTGTTATCAGTCCTAATTAGAGTTTTCTTTTCGATAAGAATATCCTAAAATAGTTTTTTAACATCGCTGGCGTGATTTCAATAAAGAGAAATGATCTTTGTGAGTTCAAGAAATGTTTTAAAAATAGATCGACAACTAAAGATTCACAGCATTATTGTTATGCCTATATCTGAGTCTGAGTGCTCATCAATGATATAATATCGCTAAGCTCTTCTTAATAACAAATGCGCCATTAGATTCTCTATCAATCTCTTTAAATAAGAATGTATTAATAGAAACGATGGTAAAACGATTAGATCCAATGCATGATATGTAATTGGGAAAAGCTTTATTACAAATTCTGTGGAAATTATTTGAATATGCAATTAAATTGAAGGTGAATTGACAACGTTTAATCGGGGTTTAGGACAGTTGCTCGCAGGACAGTTGCTCGCAAAGGCATTTTCTCGCGAGTATGAGCTCCAGTCTAAGTTTCTAAGTTACTGGTGAGTAGCTACACCCTCACCCTCACCCTCACTCTCATTCGCGCCCTCAAAATCCACGCCTTCACCCTCATTCACACTCGCGAGCAAGTGTCATTGCGAGCAACTGTCCGTTTCCCGTTTAATCGACCCACATGTACAATCGATTTCATCGATGTTAGATAAATTGAATTTATTACTGAAAACTGAAATTGAAGGACAAGGTCGAGATCAAGGACTTCTTTCATTAACTGAACGATTACTCTTTATTATGAGTCAATTATTTCATAGGTCGAGTAAAACATTATCACAAGATAAACACAATGAAATTTCGGTTTCATATGAAAGTGATATTGAACAATTATATTTATCATTAAACTGTACCAAATTACCATTTGTCAAGAGTTATCCTAGTTTAATATCGATATCAGTTCATCTTTTATCCTATCTATCCTTTGACAATAAGGAAAACAATACAGACATTATTGAATTATTTCAAATCTGATTAAGAATTCGATCGATTTGATCAAAAAAAACCTCATCAACATCGACGGACATGGATAGTCAATAACACTTACGAGGGAACGGCCCCAACTGTCAAATCGCTTTTTCTTGGAAAACTAGTGGGTTCTAGGTAATTCAGTATGCTGATTCCGAATATCATAATCATTTGGGCCGCTAGCCCTTTATTATCCCAATTTTGGGAAAATCCTGTTTTCTAGCGAAAAATCAATTTCTAATGTTTTCACATGAAAGAGGAGATCGCAAAACCCACAAAATCATATTTAGTTCATCTCTAGAACGATTATTGGGGGCGCCACAAGCGTTGTAATCCCATTGGATCAAAGATTTCAACGGTTTTTTTTCGTATTTTCACTGATAATAGTTACACTAAATTTCTTTCTTCTACGTTTTAGGTTTACGATCTTATATTATTTTAGAAGCATTCACCGACGTAATAATACATAATATCATCTATTATTAAAGATCTGTCAACATTTGAAAAGTAAGTAACTCACTATTGTTACATTTTTTTTCTTGATTCTATACTTTTTTTGATATCTTAAGAGTGATGAATCCTGCGAATATTGTAGATTGTTTGTGTGATTTGGTGAAAAACAATCTTAGTTTACATTCAACATCGGATATCTCATCAAAAGAACGTGAAATTGCTCAGCATTTGTGTGAAACAATTGTAACATTTAATAAATGTAAAAGAGTTGAATACGAAGAGGAGACGACATTAGATCTTTATGAAATGTCAAATGATTACGAAAGTGAGGTCGATGATACCACTTCTCATGATGATGATAGTTCTGAAGCTGATGATGAATTGGAATCAGAGGAAAAAGAACGAGAAGGTTGTAATGTAAAGGGCTATTCTTTGGAATATATGAAAGAAGTTGTTGCTTATGCTGATGCTAAAGATTCATCGGGTAAACGAAGGAGATCATGGAAGACAGTGCATCATAAATACAAAAAAGTTCCAGATCAAGCATACATAAGTCGATTCCGTAATTATATTGAACAACAGGGTACGAAACGACAAAAAACACAAAATTTAGATGATATGGTGTTCAAAATATTTGTAGGGGCAAGAGAAAAGAGTCTTATGGTTCATGATATTGATATTAAAAGATGGGGTTTGAAAGCAGCAAAAGAAATTAAATTAGATGAATTTAGTGCATCAGACAGATGGCTAAGAAATTTCAAAGGTAGACACGGAATAGTTTCTCGTCGGGTAACAAATATTGTAACAAAACATGAAGTGGCAAATTAGGAATTGATTGAAAAATCAGCAAAAGATTTCATCAAAGATTTTTATAAATGCTCTTCTCATTTTAATCCATCACAGATTCTGAATACCGATCAAGTTGGCATTGAAAAAGAAGCACATTCAACCAGAACATTATCGTTTGGGGGAGAGAAAAAGACTTTCGGCACGGTGGCCTCAAAAAATGCAAGTACTCACTCATATACAGTACAACCAACGATTTCCCTTGATGGAAAACAGGTAGGTCCTATTTTATTATGTTTACAGGAGCCGAAAGGTAAGCTAGGAGAAGGTGTTAAAAATAAGTTGTTTAAACCTTCTAACGTTGTAATTACATGTTCAGCATCAGGCAAATTGACATCATCTTTAGTTGCCTATTGGCGTGATAATTGTCTCTTACCTTCTATTGGAGGTAAATGTCTTTTGCTTTCCGACAGTTGGTCTGCTCAGAATGATATGTCATTGTATGATAAAGCCAATTGTCAAAATAAACATATAACACGAATTCAAACTCCACAGAAAACAACAAGTGATTTACAGCCATTGGACGTGTATTATAACAGACAGATGAAAAATTTTATTAAAAGAATTTATAATAGAGTTGCTTTGGATGAAATACCAATACATATGTATGAAAGAAATAATATAATAAAGATTGTATCATTAGTTCATAATCAGCTTTCAGCACCAATCTTCCGTCAAATGATACGTTATTCTTGGTATGCAAGTGGACTGTCAAAAACAGATCCAACTCCTTTTTTCAATATCAATGAAGTATGTTTTCCACCAATTACATCACATGAAGAGTGTTCAGTAGATAACTGTGACGATGCTGTTTTAATTACTTGTGCATTTTGTTCCGAGAAATTTTGTTTCCATGACTTTTTTGTCAACTACCATTTTCATGATTAAAATACAGAGAGTGAGTACTGAAAAATCTTTTTTCGCCAAATATTAAAACTTTTCTGTCGCTTCTAGATTGTACACAACTCTAACAGCGATACAATTGAGAACATTTGTAGAAGGAAAGAAGATTTTGGCTTAGCATTGTATTTAGCGTTCATGCGACATTTTCTGTTGTTTCGTTTATCTTATCGTTGGTTGTCTTATCTTTGTTTTTTATGTTTGTTTGTCGTATCGTTGCTTGTTTTACCTTCACTCGTCTTATCATTGCGTATCTTATTTTTGTTTGTTTTATCTTCACTTGTTTTACCTTTGCTTGTTTGTTTTATCTTCACTTGTCTTATCTTTGTTTGTTTTATCTTTGTTTGTGTATAATTACATTCTTGTTCCTGTACGTTTTTTATTGAAAAAAACTATTTAACTAATAAAACAAATACAGAAATCGATTGATCTGTACATTTCATGACTTTCGGTGTGCGGGGTAAAGATCTATACACTAGGTTTTAACTCGAAAGGCGCCTTTCTTTCAAAATACTAATTTATATCGGACTCTACAGGTGTCCTTAGCAAATCAGTGGTGAGCAGAAACGACGCTTCTTCACTGAAGGAGGTCTAAGCAAGCTTCTTCTTGTCCTAGTAGTGGAAGTTCATTCAAAATTCTAAAAGAATTAGGTGTACTACAACTTTTCTCTGCGAAGAGAAAAAACAAGCCAAACCATAAAAACCTTTCATCCAATATAATCCCATCGATTGTGGCGCCCCCAATAATCGTTCTAGAGATGAACTAAATATGATTTTGTGGGTTTTTCGATCTCCTCTTTCATGTGAAAACATTAGAAATTGATTTTTCCGAAAAAACATTTTTCGCTAGAAAACAGGATTTTCCCAAAATTGGGATAATAAAGGGCTAGCGGCCCAAATGATTATGATATTCGGAATCAGCATACTGAATTACCTAGAACCCACTAGTTTTCCAAGAAAAAGCGATTTGACAGTTGGGGCCGTTCCCTCGTTAGATTGTTTCTGTGAAACTGGTAAATATTTGTATAAGAAATCGATCTATAATAAAGAATTTCGTGATTTTATGAATGAACCGGATGGGATTATTGATCAATATATTCGATGTATTGAAGCAGATTCATCACAAGTAAAAACATATCTTTGTATGCAAGATCAAGATAATTGAACGGAATTCTTAAATACATCTAGTTTATCCTATGTCTTAAGTATATTAACTGGTCTTTCATCTAGACACGAACATATTCAAATGAAAATTGGTCGAACTTTGATTCCAGTCTTACATAAAATTGAATAATTATCCATTGCCAAAAAAGTTGGTGTTTTAGTCGAAGATTTGTTACATTCATTAACGGAAAATGAACAAGTAGTGAAAAGAATCGATGAAGTACGAAATCAAACACGAGCAGAAAAGAAACGTTTGGCACAAGAAGCATGAGAACAAAAAATGTGAGAATTAAAATTACCGAATATAACACGAGAAAAAAGTCTTTCAGAATCATCAGTAACAGCATCAAAATTACTCTTTAGTCATGCTGATCTAATTGATGAAACTGGTCACGTGCATTGTATTTGTCATGAAGGATACAAATATTTTTCCAATAAAGTTTTAGTCATTTACACTTTTACGAAAAAAGTCGATATTGAACCATATGAAGCAAGAACACACAAAACCCAAGGTTATATGACAATGACGCATTTTAATCTCATTCATATTGAATGTCATACATCAGCCATTAAACAAGCACGACCAAGAGATGAATGAGAATCAGCTTTATTATAAAATGAGAATACTCATTGTAATGGTTTCTTACCTTTATGGAGACCAGATGTATCCGAAGCACAATTTATCACTGCTCTGGCGAGGTATGTTGTTCTCGATCAATTCCTTCTTATAATCTCGGTTCTTATCGTTTAGATACCATACGAATATTATTGAAGGAACAGGTATCCGTGAAACAACTCCGACATTATCCATTGATGATGTAAAATTTTTATTTCTTCAATTTGCTGATGTACAGTCTTTCAGTGAAGATACCGGTAGTGATGGACAGGAATCGAATATACGTTTGATTCCTTATCAAATATATTCGATACTCAAAGTTCTAATTACGTAAGATTTTTCGAATTTTCTTGTTTTTATCATTTCGTTTTGTCCGGTTGAATAGAATTCGACAAATTGAACGTGAAAGAAAAGCTTTATAAAATTTTCTTGCTCGCCCAGAAATCTTAATCAATGAAACATTTGAAGCTGATGCTCCGTATATTATGGGGACTTTAGCATTAATCATTATGAGATCGACCAATTGGAACAAGAATCGTCGAATCTTTCTACAAAGACTTCTGCTTACAGAACATATTCAATCAATTAATAAACCACAAGATCGAACAAAGTAATTTAATCGAAACGAATTTCATTCTCACCATGATCATGATTCTATCTCTTTTCTAGAATTGCTTCAAAAGCAGTAAAATCTTTTGCAATCTGCAAAACTATTTTGGTCTTTTTGGTCTAAACAATGTCTTTCTTATTCATTTATTAAAACAGGTAATTATTCATTTATTAAAACAGGTAATTATTCATTTATCAAATACCTTGTATATCATACAAATATTGTTTTCTAGTGTCTAGATATGACATCAGATCAATCGTATCATCAATAATTAGTTCAATTTCTTTATGGTAATGATGCATTCATTATGGAAGCTTGTACCCGAATATGAAAACATTTCGAACAAGATTTACTTGCCATTCAAACATTTGAAAGTTTATTTAATGCAGTAGATCTTCGTCAATTGTCGAAATAATGGGTTCAATTGACACTCAATGTATTACTATAGCAAAGAGTAGATGAAGAACAATGATCATATACAGTCGTAATGTTTTCTTCTTGGGCTTATTAATTTCTTTTCTCTGTCTTTTGTGTGTTTCTTTCGAACCAAAACAAGATAAAAGTAACGCATGAGTGATTTTACTCTGTTCAATACTATTCTCTATGATGTAGACATAAGCATATACAGACTCATGAAGATTATCTTTATTTATTTGTTTTCCTATTTTCTTCTTTTACTTTTCTTTTGCACTAAATAAAGTCGATCAAAGGTAAACTTAAAGCCTTATGAGGTTTGATCTGATTGAGCTATTGCTTGGAATTATGATGTTAAGACATTGGGCGGTAGATTGTAATAGAATCGACTGGTTGAAGTAGGAATAGGAGCTGATAGGCCAATAATCATACCACTTGTAAAATAAGAGCATCGTTTGGACCAAAAGATTCTTCAGGGTGAACCAGGATAGTACGAGACAGCTTCTTGTCGATAAGCAGCTGTATTTGGTCGAGCATATTTTTCTATATAAGGGAATCAATTTTCACTATCCACAAGGGCATAACCTTAAGATTTCACCTAACTTATAATTGTTCACATAAAATCTTCCATCTTATCTCTATTCTTAAGCAAACAAAGAAGAGAGAACAAAGAAGGTGGTCGATAAGCAATGAAATCGGTCTGTTCCAGAAATGTTGAGTTTTTTCTTACCAAATAGTCACATTAAGTATCAGAAATTTTTTACTACTGAAATCAGATCGATAGGATGTGTTTAGACCGGGTGCAGTCTTATTTATACTCTGTGGTCATATGCCTATCTAAGCGATAATAGCATTTGTCTGACTGAGTGGTGATTATGGACGATCGAGATAGATTAACAATCCAAATTATATACCGATCGATAGCACTTTCAAAGACCTATCAAATGGTAATAAGATATTAGAAAAAAATTAATGGCTTTTATAGCTTAGCTTAGGCCATATTCTCATATTATAGTTCCCACTGGTTTTTTATCCTATGATTTCTAATATTAGTTTAGACAATTAAAGATTATTAATTTAGTCAATCATGCTCGCTTTTACATTAACCGATAGCTATTTAGATCAACTATCAAACGATACTAAAAGACTGCAAAAATTACTAATATCACAGTTCAATATAACCACACTACCATACAGTGCCTAGAAAATAACCATTATCGGATGATTTCTCATATTAGTTTCGATAGTTAAGAATTATTGAGTTAGTCAACCATGCCAGTTATTATATCGATCGATTTCTCAAGTATAATACGAAGTACAGCATCGATTGCAAATCTTAGCTAAAGGAGGAACTGCTTTCATTGATATGATTTATATGTACAAATGTACATAAGGAGATTTCCATCATCTTCGATTAGACCCACCAGATCAGAGAGAACCTCAAGTAAAAAAAATGGGGCGACATGATTAAATATTCGATTTTTCTAATCCCTTCATCATTCGAACAAATATTTGGTATTACTGCAACAGCAGAATTTCATCGTGGACATTATAAAGTGATTGTGTCAGTGACCATGGTGAGATTCGCAGTCAATGTTTCGAAGAAATCAACATATTCAATTATTCAATTATAAGCGACAATCGGAATGGTCACATCAATTTTCACTTCAGTTTGTTGAATATTTATTAATTTAATTATTTTCGCTAATAATCATTTACAATGCACACTATTCTTTAAATTTACAATCAATTGTATTTGACGATTATTATAGAAAATTTGAACCATTCTCACAGCTTTATTTCGTTTGATTTCGGACATTTTAATATGTCATTTTTGTACGGAATATGTTTGAAATAATTGAATAATATGTGATTGAGTTGAATAACATTGATCAAGTTTAATTGCTTGTAATTTCACTTGTTGAAAGGGAATATCGAGCTTATTAGAAAACGAGATATGGTTCACTTTCGAAATAATAACCATTGGTTTGTTCAAGTTCAATAATAGTTGATAAACAACGATAGATCGAGGCATTCGGATGATTTAATAAAAGAGAATTTTCTTCTTTTTAACATCAATTCTAATTTGGTAAGAAATCATTTGTACATTGATCATCTTTATTCTTAATAATAATAATAATAATAATAATAATAATAATAATATAATCAAGTACATCCATATATTTGGAATGCCTTTTGATCATAATGAAGAAGGTTAAACCATAAATGAATGAATAAATCAAAGAAGACTAGATTGAGAAAAATACTTTTACATTGAATAATAATAGTTAATTAATGAAAAATAAGAAAAATATTTGTAAATGTTCAAGAATTAATTTATTCAATGTAATGGGTAAACTCTGAACAAATTTCTTCCATAGATAATAGCTCATCTGATTATTCTTTCATTTGAAAACACTTTTAAATAGTAGAATCAATGTATGAAGAGCTAAGTTCATAGGTTATGATTAATCGAATGAAAGACCGAGTTTTTTCCTAAATGAATTTTCATTAGACAAAGTCAATACATCATTTTGAAGAGCATTATTAATACAATGTGTTACTTTCATAGAATATCGAATTAAATGAACTAAATTTTCTATTTAATCATCACTATTTAATGTCACTTTTAGATCATTAATGACTAACAGTAAATTTTCATTTAAATATGATTTATCCAAATAACTCATCAGATCATGATAATCCTTCTGAATATTACCATCTTGCGATAACAGTTCCGAATCTAAATATTGATTTAATAATGTACGTTTCGGATGACTTGATGATGATAAACGATAAATCGATGGTTTCATTGTTGTTGAACTCATATTCGTTAAAAAAAAACATTCTTTTCATCAAATGAATTATCTAGATCATGAATATCTTCAATTGTTGTTTTTGTCGTTGATATATGATTGGATTATGGTGGCATATCAGAAATTGATTTTTTTTAGCGATAATAAAACGATCAAAAGATGGAACATTGTGAGAGACAATTTCAATCTTTAGTGATTTTTCAAATGCAGACAACCTTCGGATGATTGAAGTATTTATGTTAAAAAATGATTGAAAAAAGTTTCTTAAAAAAGCATCCATTTGAAACAGTAAAGGTGAGAGATGAATGAAGATGAGAAAGAGTTTAACTGATGGCTAAGAGAAAGACTGAAGATAATGTTCTTCCGTTCATTTTTACATGTATATTTATCTTTCATATTCATAAAATAAATAGTTGAATTATCTCAAATATACCAAAGATATCTCTGAAAAATGAATCCAATAGAAATTTTGAGTTAATTCATTTTCATATTCACACATATTACCATGCACCATCTTGTTGATAATAGATTGATTTGTTTAATCATATTGAAAAATAGAAGCAAAAACTGAAAGAAAAAAAAAGAAGAAGAGATATTCATTTATTTTGTTGATTTATAATAATATGTACATATATTTTTCAAGATATCTATTCTATAGAATATATTTATATTTGATATTTTCTGATAGAAGTTCGACAAGTTATTCTCAAGCTTCTAGATTTTTTCATAAAGTCAGAACTGTTCTCTGTTAGAATAGACAATATTCACTTTTACTATTTTAACTCAATATATAATTGTTCAAAGTTTGAGCAAACAATCAATTGAAAACAATGTATTTGATTGATTTCAGATTGAATATTTGACATTTGATATGAATAAGTAAATCCATTCATGAAACATCGTCTCAATTGTGTCTGATATATTCATAATCTTTGAGAAATAATGAAATTTTCTTTTCAAATCAAATCTTTAATCTCCGTTTAATGTTTGATCAAAATGAAAATTGAAAAAATCTAAAGGACAAAAATACAAGTACAAACAATGCGAAAAATATGAATTTGATAATGAAGAATTCAATTCATTGTTTGTTTTCTTCAATACAAAATGGATTGTTATTTCCACTTTTTATAAGTTCATTCATTGACGTTTCACAATTTTGTCCATCAAAATAAATATATTCGATGGATTTTATTGTTTCTGAATCAATACAATGTGGCATTATTCCATAAACATCTGGATTGTTGCGTGGTTGAAAAAAACTTTGTACACCACATTGACGGCAAAACATATGCTTGGCTGTATGTGTACAGAATGTGTATGTTGTCAATTGGTCACTACCGGTCAGAAGTATAAATTTATCTTTAGATACAATAAAATAATCATTCTGCTTTTTACAACATATGGAACAATTGCATCGAATTACTGACAAATTAGCTGGAGCTTCAACTTCAAATTTAACTAAACCACAAAGGCAGCCACCAAAATGTTTAACTAACATATCTAAAGATGAAATACAGAGAATGATCGTCGATTTATGTAATATATCGAGAGATAAAAACTTCTTTCTTGTTTATTGACTATATAATGTGTAAAAAGTCAATCTATTCATGCATGCATATACAAACACACACATGAAAAAAAAATATGTTGAGTTCAAAAAGTCATGCTTTAGTGTCAATACAATGGACATAATCTAATAAAGTTTTCCTCCATTTGGTACTTGCCGATCAACACCAAGGAGAACAATCGAATGATGATCATCATCTTGCGTTATGGCTAATGGGATGATTTCGTTAGTCTGTTCATTGATTGCAACTGGTAATTGAGTTGATGGACCGTAAACAACATCAGAAGAAAGATTTTGAACCACAAAACTTTTGTCACCAATTGTTTCACCAAAATCGACTGTTAAAGTTGCCTCATGCGAATTCTGTTCTTGTTGTATATGCTTGATAGTACCAACAATAATATTGGCAGCTTCGAATTGTTCATAGGTTATTTCAGGCAGAATATTGCCATTAAAATTACTGGTAGCACTTGCCATATTAGATTCATTAGTTGATTCCATGTGTTGATCTATTGTTGTTGTTGTTGTCGTCATTGAACTTGTGCCCATTGTCGATGATAAATAGAGAATTTGTTTGCCATTAAGAACTTTCACATTACGAATATTTAATAAAAATACTTTTGATTTTTCATTTGGAAAGCCAACAATGAGTACTTCCGATTTCAAACCAGCAATTTTTTTCATTGGAAAATTGACAATACATACAACTTGTTTTGATTGCAGCAGTTCATGTTCGGTGTAGGTGGCTGGTAACTGTGCAGATGTTGTTTTCTTTCCAATTGTACCGCCAAAATCGATGTCGACAATGAACGAAGGATTTTTTGCTTTTATATTTGGCTTGACGGAAACGATTGTACCAATGCGAAAGTCGATCTTTTTCAATAATTCCATAGTTGAGAAAAATCTATCTATAATAAGTCTCCGAAAAGCCATGATTACTGAAAAGAAAATAAACACACGAACGAAATGAAATGATTTGATTAGATAAGAAACAATGAAAGAATGCTATGCACTCTAAAAAATTCAGACACATGGCGTGTATAAGTAAGACGGTTCGTTCGTCTAAACAAGACACTTTGAACAATTTCTGATTGGTCAGTCAAAGTCTTTTTAAGACACTTCACATGTCTGCGGATAACCGATTTGGGACACGTACGCGTCTTATATCGATCCTGATTCGAGTATTTAAACCAATGTATTTAAGTGTCTTACAGCAGTCTTTTTTAGACGCTTCTATCAATCTATGGTTCACTAATTCAAGAATTCATATTTTTATATGAACATTAGATATTAGAAAAAATATTTTCAATGAAATAATTTTTTTACACTTTACTTCAGGTAAAGTTATATTTGAAAATTACAGAAATTATTTTAAAATATTTATATATATATATATCTTTTGATGTTTAATGAAATTCCTCAATAATCAGATTTACTCAAATAAATTATTTTCGAAGATAACATTTTATTCCACAAGAATATCACCTTCGAGGAATTTCATTAAACATCAAAAAATATATGTATAAAATTTTAAAATAATTTCTGTAATTTTCAAATATAACTTCACCTGAAATAAATTGTAAAAAAATTATTTCATTGAAAATATTTTTTCTAATATCTAATGTTCATATAAAAATATGAATTCTTGAAATAGTGAACCATAGACTGATAGAAGCGTCTGGGAAAACTCATGCAACACAAGTCTAAAACGAAAAAAAATAGAAGTCTTAAGTATTTCTTTAAATATAGAATATTAAAATATAACTGTAATCAGTTATTTTTGATAATTTTTCTATCATCTAGAATACAAATAAAAAACTTGAAAATATATCAGAAATAAATAAAAAAGAAATTTCGGTAAAATGGTTTGCATATTTTTAAAGTCTCTTCACTTCAGATATCGAATCAAGAGATTCGGATCTCTTCAAAGCCACGAATATCCTTAACTCGAGTTAAAATGTAAAGTAGCTCACGCCAGAAAAGTCATCGGAAAAACTAGTTCTGGAAAGAGTGAAATCCTAAATATTTTCAAGAAATCGAATAAGATCCTTTGTTTCACATCCGAAAGTAAGTTCTCATAGCTACGAAAGAAAGTAAAAAAAATGATCTATTGGTCAATAACTATAACAATGTTTTAAGAGAAAGAGGAAATTAAGACGCTTTCCTGTCTATAGTCACAACATGTCTAAAAACAAGACGTAGTTCACGTCTGAATAAGACTTAAGACGGATGACATGTCTGGTTAGACGCATGGCATTTTTTACAGTGTGATGCTCGTCATACATACCATTCTTCGCAATCTAGAAACTCTAAAAATATGCGCATCGTATGAGTATCTATGAGATCAAACTTTTTCATAAATAGAAATATTTGACAAAAAAGAAAAGACAAGAAAACATCTTATTCTTGTTACTATCCTTTCATTTAATAATTGTATTGTAATATGGTTACATTCTTAGCTTACTACGACATCTGTCATACTTTTGTAGACACAGGGATGTGCCGAAGAGAAAAAAGTGGGGGGGGGGGGGGGGGGNTAGAAATTTGACTCCCCCCCCCCCCCCCCCCCCCCCCCCCCCCCCCCCCCCCCCCCCCCCCCCCCCCCCCCCCCCCCCCCCCCCCCCCCCGCCCCCCCCCCCCCCCCGCACCCCCCCCATGGGCACATCCCTGTGTAGACATATTTCATTCATTTCTTCATATTGATGATGATAATGACGAAAGTATAGAGTAGATGATATAGAAATATTCTTAAAAATTTTCTGATATACTATCAAGATTGATGATGAGTCTCTAAACGAACAGGTTCAACTTTGTCTCTAAATATAATGCATAAAATTGTTTTTCAATATATATTTTTGAAAAGTTTCACTTGAATAATATGAACAATGAAAACGATGAAGTTATCTTGTTCAATAGTGGATCATTTTCGACATAGATTGTTTTATAGATCTTATCTCTTAATTGTCATTATTTCTTAGTATCTAATGATAGATAAACCGAAACTTTTATGTTAAAAATGAGAGAGAAAAAAAGAATAGTTTTTACAATTATGATGAAAGAAATTCGTCAGATTTCTTTCCTTCTTATACAAAATTACGAATAAAATTGAGCAATAACTATTAAATAAATGTTATTCGCTTTTCTGAAAGAAAAAAGGGTTATACAACGTTTAAATCCGGAGCTTGAAATGTATAAAGTTTGTCCGGCCAAGCCAATCAGTATACAGTATGCTATAAACTAATAAAAATTTAGCGATTGTTATGAGAAAAGGTTTGACCGAAGGTAATCGGGGTTGAGGAATCCGAATCTGAGGTCAGTTTTGATACTACTAATTATCTTGTTTTTTCTAAAAAGTTTAATCAGAAGTAATCGGGGTCGAGGAATTCGAATCTGATGTCAGTTTTGATATTACTAATTAGCTTTAGACTAATTAGTAATTAATTATGTTGGTTTTTCTAAAAAGTTCCATCAAAGGTAATCTCGGATGGAGAATCTGAATGTGAGGTCAGTTTTAATGTTACTATTTATTTTAGTAATAAGCCAATATTAACAAATGTTAGTCTTTTTAAAAGCTGTACCAAAGGTAATCTAGCATAGAGAACTCGATTACTAGGCCAGTTTTTCCTCTTTTAACAACATTTATTTCTTTATTATTTATTAAATACTGATATTTTTGCGATGAAACTTCGGCAATAGTAATGGTGGATGAAGAATCCGTTTTAAATTTGACTACTTCTCTATAAGTCGTCTGGTAAATTGTAGGACGTTTCGTTTTCAAATACATATCGTTTCTTTTTTAAAATTCAGTATTGTTTTGCGAAGAGCTGGACGTGATTGAGATAAGTCGCGAACGCGAGTAGATTATTAGGGAAGGAGATGGATTTAAATATGGAAGCGGTTAGCCGTGAGTGGCGACCCGGAGGGGCGCCAATGAACGACTAACCGCTGATTCTATTGGTTTACGATATTAATCTTCAAAGAAAACTCTCACGAAATGTATCATACTTATGGAAGAACTCCTTCAAGGTTTCGCGAACGAAAAATCTCTATACCACGCCGATTATTTAGACCAAAATTGGAACCGGTAGGATTTTTTCCTTACCGATACCGATCTAAATAGTCAGACCGAACTGGGCCGATCGATAGAGCGGTATGAGTTATTCTTTATATTTCTGACCCAAAACAGCCAAATCAATACCTCGATTAGTCGTATATGCGCCCTGATCACTACAGTAATGAGATAAGAGTCCTTTTTCACTATGTATCTCTGTAAAGTATCTCTCTTCACATATACATCAGCAGTCTTCCATATTCATTAGCTGCTCGCTGGACACAGACATTATCGAATAATTGTATATCTAATTTGCTTCTTGCATTCTATTCTCTTTAGTATCTCTCATATACGTGCAAAATATATCCTTTAAATAGTAGATAAATACAAATAAATATATGCTGAGCTATAATACAATGATAAAAGGTTTTTGATTTTATTTTGATAACATAAGGCGATATCAATATGAGTAGATGAAATATACGAAGCATGTTATGACGATATGTGACTAAATTCCCTTTTCTGAAAGAAAGGATTATATGGTGCTTAAAAATGCATCAAGTTTGTCTGTCTGTCTGTCTGTCCAAGCCAATCAGATTGTAGCAAAGTTTTATCACGTAAGATTTATTTTATTTTACCTGAAATAAAACTCAATCCAAGGTTTTCGGGGTCGAAGAATTCGAAACTGAGGTTAGTTTTTTAAAATTGTTTTAGCAGAAAAGAGATTTTTTTACGAAAAACATTTTTTTTATAAAGTTTCACCGAAGGATAATCGAGGGTGGGGAATCCGAATCTGAGGTTTTTTTTTGATTTGGTAGGATAAGACATAGGCTTTGCACACAAATTTGGATTCGTAGTATATAGAGATATGAGCGTGACTATTGATGCAAATGTATATATCGTATGTATGAGACTTTCAGCCGCGCCGTTTAGTTTCATTAACTAGCAGAACGATGGATGGCATCTTTTCATAGCCTTTAAATCTCATGTTGCGGTTCCTTCCGAGAATTACTGATACTCAAAATATCAATAGTAAAGTATCACTTTGTCAGAGTATGGTACTTCGTTCACAGTCATCGATCGACAGGAAGATCAGACTCTGTGTTGGCTTCTGAATATAATATGCAGCGCTGAATAGTCGGGAGGGGCGGATCGAACGGACGTTGATGACCGACTGCAAGATGTCTCTTCCACTTTCTTTAATAAAAATTAAGGGCAAGGTTACATTATATGATTTTACCCGTATATAGTGCTATCGAGGTGGATTATAGTATTTAAAAAGTCGTTTCAATTGGTTTTTGTTTGTTTATTATGTCACGTCGCCAACTAAACGAAATAATCGTATCGCACATGCGGATATTAAAGTATCTCTTTCGCACAAAGTTCGATGAGCCCAATAAAAGTCGCTAAAACAGAAAGGGCAGACGCCACATTGATTTATACATATGTTACTAAAAGTCGGTCAGTCGAGAGTGGCGGACCGGAGGGACGCCGACGACCGACTGTGAAATAAGTCTGGCACTTATGAAAACTTTAGTAAAGACCTAAAGGAACGAATCTTCGACGAAAAAGAAGAGACTGATTATACAGTCTATTTTCTCTGTGCGAATATATATGTGGTAATAGTATTGAAATTATAATCTAGTATAAGCACTATCGGATGGAAATCAGTTGAAGATGAAGCGAGTCCCTTTAACGAGCGTCATCTAATTGGTTCGAGGAAAATGATGGTGTCAGTGTGGATAATTTATTTGCGGGACTGTTAGTCGCATAGTTTGTTTCGCTAGACTATGCGACCGATGCATTGCATCATCTCATATCCGTTAAAAGTCATGTTGTTACCTCGTATACGACGTGTTGACAGTTGACACTCAGCATATGGAGAGTGTATTGTCCTCTTGTCAAACTATCGGATTCCGCTCGAAGTCATCGATGAACATCATGATCAGATTTCGTGTTTGCTTTCAGGCGTAATATGCAGCACCCAGCAGTCGGGAGTGGCGGACCGCAGGGACGCCGACGACCGACTGCAAATTGGCTCTAACATGTACACAGCTGTAGTGAAGGCCTAAATGATCGAGTCTTTAACGAGAAAAACTGAAATGATCATACAATCTGTTCTCTTTTTGTGAAATGTACGTGGTGTTAAAGTTGAAATCACAATCTAATCAGCGCTATCGGATGATTATCATCTGAAATCAGTTGAAGGTCAAGCGGCTCCTCTTGACGAGCGTTACTTGTTTTATGAGCTGGATCTTGTTCTGAATTTCTAGTTTTAAATATATAAACAAGATTCGAATATATGTGTCGATGAGCTAGAAAATAGATCTTTAATATAGAAATAGACAGGTATGTGTTTCTCAAAGACGAGCATTCAACGTGGAATAGATAACAGATGAGAACAAATATATTTGTTTTTGCTCATATTCTGAATCGAATAGAATATAGCTTTGATTAAATCGAGTAGTACTGGCGTGCAGATATTTTCATTCATTTTGGCTTCTAAAGGGTATGAAAGGGCAGAAATAATGAGATATAGTAATGTGTAAGTAAGGATTTGTAGCATCGGAGAAAATATATTTGAAAAAATTCTCCTTGGAAACCACATAAAACTGCTTATCCGACACACGTATAACTGTTGATTATGTTTGTAGTACGGTGTATTCTTCCATCAAACTTCTTATTCTATAAACGGCAACCTGGCACATTTTGAAGAGATTCTCTGAAAATCTTGCAGTGTTCTGTTGCGAGTATTATGTGTCCTGGCAGCCGTTCAGGATCATTATATGATCAGCCTCAACAGTTCACTAACCAAGCTAGTATTGTTTCTTTCAGAAAAGGGTCAGCGAATCCAAAGATGAGCGTTACTTGTGTTTAGATAGCATTATATTTTAAATGGATAGTTATAGGTAGAAGTGCAATAAACGAAAAGTTGTTACGAAGCAATCAGCTACTTAAATTATTTAGTAGCTGTATACGAAATTTTGTTAGAAATGAATCAGCTATGTACATTATTTAATAGCTGCATAAGTTTTCTGTAATAGCTATCAAATCTTTTAAATAGCTATGAAAATGTTTAAATAGTGCTATATTTCAAATAGGTAGTTATGTGAAGTGGCGCAATAAATGAAAAGTTGTTACAAAGCAATCAGCTACTTAAATCATTTAGTAGCTGTATATCATTCGAAAAAGTATCTCTTTTGAGAAGGTGCGGTCCAGTTATCGTCACTGTCGAAGTGGCGCTGCTTGGAGTTTGAGCATTGAAACGTAATAATTGGTTTTGATTGTTCAATCCGTAGAAGATAATATCAGGATTGTTTGTTTGTCCAGCAACTGAACCTCAAATATAAAATAAATTCTCGTCAGTGAACAATGTCTTCGTCAAAATTTGTTTTCCACACTTACCACTGCTAAAGGTAGCAGCAATATTCACGCGTTTACCATCAGCAAGTACCAAATTTATGATGAATTGACCATAAACAAGAAGAAGAGCAACGAAAGCACGTGCTCGATCTATTAAACAAGATCCAAAACGACATCTTCCTTCACCAGGTAAAATACCAACAATATCGATTTGATTGCCTTGTCTAATATAAAAGAAACGAATGAATTTCTCGACGAAATAGGAAGTGTTTTCTTATGATTGTCTTTTTTTGCGTTTGTTGGTTGCTATGTTTCCTGAGACAGTGCAAGAAGTGACAGCAGGGACCGATGGACTGACAGCCGAGCTGGATTGAGCTCGTTGACGAAGCTATTAACATAGAATACTAATTTTGGAGTGATATCCTTCGAAGAGATACTCACCACTGTTTGAATGGTCTGACAATTTTCGTCACTGAGACGTCCCAGAGGGAGACTTCCATTTAGAAGAGTCAAATGTGTTGTAAATTGAGCCGAATCTCAAATAAAATTAATTTCAATTGCCTTTGTTTTCAAGGAGAAGATGCTTACCATTATTTAGGTTATCAATATCTTTTCGTTGTAAATAAACCGAAATAAGTGCCAAGACAATCATTGAAGCAATCAGAAAAAGAACCACACAAATTGCGCAAATTGGAATCAATGCATTGATTCCTCGACGACTAAAATATAACAAAGTCCGATCGAATAAAAACCTTCATCAGAAACTAACGGTGGTACATATACTGCTGTGTCTATATTAGACATCATGTTGGCTATTTTTTGTTGAATGGCAAAGTTTAAAACAACGTTCGTCTTATAATAGTCTTATGTATTTAGCAATAACCTTGGTACAAAACATTTTATTTCAAAAGCAATCTTTGTGTATAAAAAATAATCAGTTAAGCATGAAGATCCCTGTTTTTGTTTTCTCTCTTTGAATAGACAGAAGGCTTTCGATTCATTGTCAACAACCAACGCAATAGCCTTTGTGGGTAATTAATGTTTCAGAGACAAACAAAGATGGGTTTCTCTCTCGCCAATCATTCTTTTTTTCCATGATTCAAAGTCAGATGAGATTATTTTTCATGTTATGGCCTTCAACAATTGTACATGGGTACATTTAAAAAAGATAGTTTTAGCCTTGAAAAATCGTTCTTATTACATGTTTTGATGTTGTCTCTGTATGACGAAACGCAAAATGTACGTGGACAAGAGTCATTATTACGTGTTACGGCTAAGAATAGCAACATTTATCTTATACTAAAGGAGAATAATATTATTTACCTGTATGAGACATGAGTACTATTTGAACTAGGGCTTCATGTGGGATGAGATGGGACGAATCGTCACGATCTGTCCTATCTCACGTGGAGCCCAATTTGAACCGACAGTAAAAGTGACGCTGATGACGCGATAACTCTTTTAAATATGTCGATAGTTTCAATCCAAAATGAATGTGTTATCGGTTATTGTAGGTTTTTATTAGTCAATAACAAGGACACTAATAGAATTAGTAATGAAACAAAAAAACAAGTATAAAAAAATAACACTGTATTTTAATTAACCATAAGCACTCGCTTTATGTTTGGGTAAAAATTGAAACTCCGGAGAAACTTTACCCAACAAAAGTTCAGTCAATTTAACCCAATCCGAACAAAGTTTCGATGACATTAATGTTTCTAGAAAATAAAAACGAAAGTTTAAAGATAAATTTCTCGTTGATAATTACCGAGATCATTTCGTCCGAAGAAATATGGTGGTCGTTCATTTAATCTATGTGGAAGTCGTTCCAATAAACCCACAGGTACATAACGATAAAGAAATGATATCCATTCGAGTAAAAATCGTCGAGTTTTATCCACACCAGCATTATCAGAACCCCAATGTTCTAAACCATAATTCGCATAACTTTTCAACATATCAAAACGTTCACTAGCGGATATATCCCATGTACGTTGTTCTTTTATTTCCGTGAATAACCATGGTTTAATTAGCGCACCACGTGCTATCATACAGCCACTAACACTAGTATCATTTAATCTTTGATAATAATCTTCAAATGAATAAATATCTCCGACACCATATAATGGAATTGGATCAGCTGCTTTCGCACATTCATCAATATAATTCCAATCAGCATTTTTTGAATAACGCATTTCTTTTGATCGACCATGTAAAGTAAATAAATCAATAATATGATTCCCATCATGTTCAGATTTCCATGATTTAGCTAAGGAAACAATTTCATGAGCGTTATTTTCTCCAGTCATTATTCCTGTACGTAATTTAAGTGTGATTGGACGTGTAGACAGACATGATATTGATCGACATATACGTTCAAAATCAACTGTTCGACGTGTTAATGCACAACCAGCACCTTTCTTGTAAACAAGATCAATTGGGCAAGCCGCATTAATATCAATAAAATCATAATCAAAATTTTCTTCAAGCATTTGAACAGTTCGTGTCATTGTGTCAACAAATGAACCGCAAAGTTGAACACCAAATATCGTTTCACTTGGATGACGACGTATTAATGCAAATTCAGATATTTGTCCTTGAAGTAATGATGTTGTCAATGCCATTTTACCACAAGTTATTTCACAACCAAAATCTTTACATACACGACGAAATGGTAAATTACCAACGGTTGTCAATGGTGCAAGATAAAGACGACGATTAAAATCAATTCGAACTTTTTCACGAGGTTTTAAACGAATCATATCAACGTCAGTTATTGTACCAAGAGTTCGAAATGGTACCGGACGACTTGTTTGTTGTTGAGATCACCATTGCTTAGATCAACTTCAGATTGAAGACCTTCAGTTTCAATTGGCTAAAATAAATAGACTTTAAATAAGCGCTAAGGATGTAGGCTGTACTAGTCGCCGATACAAAAATCGAAAAAAAAACATGTCGTTCTCAACAAACAATTTTAGAGCAAGCAATTAATTTGTTCGGTCATCTTTCTTGCTGGGAGAGAAATATCAACATGTAATCAAATCGAACAATTCTTTCGATGAATATTCTTTTGTTTTCCACACTACGTAGCTGTTGAGAATATTGAAATCATATCGAAGACTATACAAAAAATTTATCAACAATTAAAATTACTGATAAAACACTTTCACTGGAATCAATCGTAATGGATCTCAATGATATCTCTCCTGTTGTCATCAAACGACATTAACCGAATAATAGTGACTTTTGGCGGATCAGTATTAGTTGTAGTTTTGCGAACTTGACGTAGTTTGAAGGTGATACTTATAAGCATAGAATTGAGAGAGAAAATATCCAACCACTCTATTCACTTCGTTCATAACATTTATTGATCGACAATTTACGACAAACAAATATTCAAAAAACAACGCTGTGTTGTTCCAAGAAATTCTAGGCTTTATTCGGGGAATAAGCGATCAAACATTAATAATTCTAATATTAATCAATGCGAATTGTCCACAAGTCTGTTTACGATGGTTATCACTCTCACATTTGAATGCTTAAGAATATATATGTATTATCAGTATTCTAAATAATATTGCACGTCATGATGAAGGAGCAATTACTCTCAAGAAATATAAATATTGTATAATTTTACGTCAGTTTGAACGGGAGATATTGAATACGAAGATCGACTTTATAATTAATCGGACTATGTATGAAGAACTACATTTAATTATGAATATGCTAATTATTTTAGTCACTGATGCAGATAATCTTTTAGATGATGTTTTTAGAGAAGGTGTCGTCGGTGATTGACTATCAAAAATTGATGCGGCTCGATCGTCATTTAGATTTTGACACAAGGGATGGCATATATCATAACTATTGATTGGTATAATGAAATTATGTCTTAGTGATACTGCTATTAATTATATTCTACAAAACGAATTAACATCAACGATTTTCTTCGACATTTTGGGTGCCTTATTATCTGTCGTAAACGACCAAGAAAATGGTGATAATAATCTCCATTTAAACATTTTATCAATCATGGCTATTGCGAATATCTTATGGAGTGTTTCATTTCATCATCGATATAAAATTGATCGGATCGAAATGTTTGAAATGCTAAACAGACTTGAAGCATTGCGTTTAACCAGTATAATCGATAAGGTAGCACCGAACATTTTTATACGTCGACATATGTCTTCATTAAAAAAGAGTGATTGATGGTGTTTGTCAGAATTCATATCCTTCAACCTCATCAATCAAATCAAGTTCCTGATTTATCGATATCAGTTGATATTAATAACGGAAAATATTGATGGCAAGAAAGTGCACAAACTATCGAACAATCGGAATATTTCTTTAGTGAAAAACTCTTCAGATATCAAACAATGGTTTACTACTAATAATATCCTTCCTAAATTACACGACTTCTATCAATTTCGAAATGGCAATGAGCTGTTACTGTATAGTCAAGCTACGTTATAATTTCCTTGGATAAACGAATACGATTAAGATTTGAAGAGAAATTCTAACAACAAGAACGAAGTTCTTCTTCATTTGAATTTTTAAAATTTATCCACGCATTAGAACGTTTGAAAAACATGAACTAAGATTTTACCTTGTCTTGACCCGGTTCATTTGTATTATTAACTTTAAGTGCTGAGTAATAAATATCCACAAGTGATCGATCTTATTTTTCTCCAACATCTGTATCATCATGATGTTTTTCTTCGACTTCTGGTGGATTATTCCGTTTTGCAATATTAGCTTTTGTAATTTGTTTATTGGCCATTTTAACTAAACGATCAGCTACGTTATAATCATATTTTTTTCTTCGTAATAAATGTTTAAGTAAACCAGGATATTTATTCATTGCTTCTAAATACTTCTGATTTGAACCTGGGTTAATTATATTATGACCAGTAATTGGATCTATATGAGATTGACTGAAACGACAGAGAATACCATATGGACATTGACCGTATACGTCAAACATATAACAACCTTGACGAAGATCTTCCGATCGACGGGATAAGTAATTAGTTAAATCATGTGAATGTTTACAGTTTGATTGATATGGACATTTCTCAAGACCACCTCGTACAACGAAATAACACAATTGGTGATCATTGATATTCGATGAAGATCGAGCATTTATTTCTAAATGTTTCTGATTTTGACCCTAGAAAAAAAAGGTGAGGAGTTAAATACCAACGAGAATTTCTTGGTTTATTTTACTCGAAATTTCTTTTTCTTTGGTTCACCAGGATTCTTTGTCTCATCTTTTGTTTCGCCAATTAATTTCTTGTCTGCTTCACTTAAATGTTCCATACTTAATTTAACTTCATGATCAAAATCAATAAATCTTCAAAAATAAAACTTTGTTTCTTATTATTTGAAGAGGATTTCTAATATACTCAAGTTTTATTTGGGCCATTCCTGCTTGATTTTTCCATGCTTCATATTTAGTTAATTGTTGTTCAGTTAAGTTCGAACGTTCATTTATCGGATGACTAGTTTGCTGTAAACGATGAGAATCTTCCTCAGTCAAACTCATTTTTTTTTATCTAAAAGATAATTTCTTTTTCTCTTCTTATGAACAATCGATGAATACTGTTCTTCAGATAGTTTTAATAATAAATAAAATCAGAATAACAACAACAACAACAACAAAAACGAATCATTTCGATTCAAAATATAACGAATAATCGGTTGTTGTTGCAATATTTATATATGCATTATGATCACCAGTTGGTTCACTTGTGAGTATTTCAATACGATCGATATTAGCAAGTGGTTGAATCAGATCAGCATATAAAGTAAAGAGTGGTGATATTGGCGATGAAGCTCGAACGTAGACTGAAAGAACAGAATTTTATTATCAAATAAACTTTGTAAGATTAAAATGTCAGACAGAATGGAATTGTTTGTGGTATAAGTGAGGATATTACACGACAGGCATCTTAACCTCTATTATCTGCAGATGTGCGGAACTAATGCTTTTGGTTCCAGTTTGAATGATTCTTTTTCTCATAGTGAACTCTGATCTCTCGCTGCAGGATCTTATGTCTCTACGCCTGTCATGATATATCATACAAGGACAAGCGTGACAAATCTTTTGGGTTATACTTCAGCACTCTCATTTAGAAAACTTACGATTATTTTTTTCCTTGGAAACAATCTTGTTAGCTGCACGGTACGAACGAATTTTATTAATTGATTCATAAATATTTGTAACATTTGCTTCAATTTTTTCATTACGATATTGCTGGAACTAAATAACAAATAAATATAAGAAAAACAAAATTACAGAAGAAAATCTCTTACTTGACTTGATTGTGGATAAGGTGTAACACAAAGACTCTGTGGCGAGTTTTGTCCATTATTTGGTTTTGGTAAACGTTGATAGAGTTCTTCCGAAATGTATGGCATAATAGGTGCCAACAATCTCAAACCATTATTTAAACATGTATATAAAATAAGTTTAATAAGTTCTTGTCGTTTCGCATCTGGTTCTTTTGCATATAAATCTTTTTTAACATATTCAATGTAAACATCACATAGATCATAAAGCCAAAAACTGTAAATAGCTGTTGTCACTTGAGGAAATAGATAATTAGTAAAGCCTGTTTCACATTGTTCAATAGTATAACTTAATCGACTTAATATCCATAAGTCACATGCTGTTTCTGCACCGGTAAGCTGAAAAAGATAAGTTTATCTCTATTGATTTATTCAGAAAGTTTTAATTACTTTAAATTCAGCTGGTGGTTGAAAACAATTTGGATCGTTAATATCTAGATTTTTCGACATTGCAAATCTGATTGCATTCCAGAGTTTATTGCAAAAACGTCGATAGCCTTCAATACGTAATACATCCAAATTGATATCTCGACCTATATACAATGGTGAAGAAAACAAATCGACTAATGATACTGAAATTACCTTGATTAGCATAAGCACAAAGAGCAAAACGTAAGGCATCTGTACCACATTCAGGAATACCATTTGGATAATCATTCTGTTGACCTAGTCGTGCACGTTCATATTCTTTTGGATCAAGATTAGAAGTTTTTAATTGTGCTTGAAGACTTTCAAGTGAAACACCATGCATAACATCAAGGGGATCGATAACATTGCCTAACATTTTTGACATTTTACGTCCATGAGCATCACGAATAATAGCATGCAAATAGACTTCTGTAAATGGTAATTGATCAGTTAATTCTAATGATAACATAACCATGCGAGCGACCCAAAAGAAAAGAATATCATGGCCAGTTTCAAGTAATTTTGTCGGGAAAAATCGTTTTAAATCATCAGTTTCCAATGGCCAACCAAATGATGAAAATGGAAAAAGACCAGATGAAAACCATGTATCAAGTACATCTTCATCTAATTAAAAAGAGATAAAAATAGGTTAAGTCTACACATTATTTATTTACCTTGTCGTAATTGAATTTTTTCTTTTGGTATATTAAATCGTTCAGCTGCTTTATCAAGTGCTTCCTCAGATGTATGAGCACTAATCCAATATTTATCATCCGTATCATTACCAACCGGAATATCATCTGAACTAACAAAATACGATGGTATACGATGACCCCACCATAACTGCCGTGAAATACACCAATCACGTATATCTTCTAACCATCGATACCAAGCAGGTTCGAAAATCGTTGGTAAAATTTTTAATTCTTTCGATCGTACAGCCTCAATTGAACGTTCTGCCATCGTTTTACAATTGACATACCATTGTGGTTTAAGTAATGGTTCGATAATATCTTTACTTCGACTACATATTGGTAAAACCATTTCATTTTCTTTCGAATCACGATAAAGACCACGTTCTTTTAAATCAACTAAAAGTTCACGACGAACTTGAAAACGTGGCTTGCCAGCATACGGACCACATTCTGATGTCATTAATCCATCACCATTAATACATGTGATAAATGGTAATGAAAGACGACGTCCACAATCGAAATCATTTTGATCATGGGCTGGTGTTATTTTAACTGCACCAGAACCGAATGCTGGATCAACCATGGTATCAGTAAGAATCGGTAAACGACGAGGAAGAAATGGATGTTGAACAAATTTACCATATAAATGTTTATAACGTTCATCATCGGGATGAACAACAATGGCTGTATCACCAAGCATGGTTTCAAGACGAGTTGTTGCAACAATGATTTCTTCTTCTACAGAGGGAAATTTAGAAACAATTCTTTGAAATGCAAAAATAAGTTACTGGAATTTTCAACCGGATATGCGAAGTAGATTAAGACACCAAATTCAACCGGTTGGTCATAACCGGGGACACTAATTAATGTTCGACCTTTTAATTCAGTCTTGTCGACCTGAAAAATAATTATCAGATATTATTTTCCAGGAAAGATCCAAATTTCTTACTTCAATATCCGAAATAGCCGATTTAAGTGTACACGACCAATTAACTAATCGTGTTGAACGATAAATTAATTTCTTCTCATGAAGACGAATAAATGCTTCTTCAACAGCATATGACATGCCTTTATCCATGGTGAATACTTTACGTGACCAATCGCATGAGGAACCTAATGCTTTAATCTGTTCATAGATGTGATCACCTATTAATAAAAAATGAACAAATTAGTCACAACCTAAAATGTGGGGAATTTTGTGTTCTCATATTCCCTCTGAAAGAAGCATCTCGGAATTGTGAGTCTATGACATACTGAATCCTTCACCCAACATATATAACAAAATCAAACCTTTTTCATTTTTCCATTTCCAAATTTCATCTAAAAACTTTTCTCGTCCTAAATCATGTCTTGATAACTTTTGTTCACGCATTAGTTTTTTTTCAACAATAACTTGTGTTGCAATACCAGCATGATCACATCCGGGAACCCATAGAACAGTTTCACCACACATACGATGCCATCGTGCAAGTGTATCTTCAAGTGTACACATAATAGCATGACCTAAATGAAGATAACCAGTGACATTTGGTGGTGGAATAACTATAGTAAATGATTTTCGTGGTGTTGAAGCATTCGACGGTGGATTCTCATCGTAATATTCCGGTCGAAAAAAACCTTCTTTTTCCCACCAAGTATACCACCTTGCTTTGACATATTTTGGACTATAAGATTTTGGTAATTCACAATGAAGATCTGAAGAATAGGAGATGAGTGATGTGAATTGAATGGTTAGTCTGTCAACCTTTTTTCTCGCCTTCTGCTGTAGGAGCTGTATATTCGGTAATGTCACGTGCAGGTTCTTTTTTCGGTGCACCAACACTACTTGCTTTTTTCTGAAATATGTAAATAAAATTTCATAGAAATTTGAATAAAATGAATAAAACCTTTTCTTCAGCTTCGGCTTTAGCCCTTTGTTTTTCTTCGAATTTTCGCATTTTCTCCGCTTTCACTGCATCTTTTGCTAATTGTTTAGCTGTTTTTGGTGGACCATCACCTTCAACAACTTGTTGCTGTTTTTCACCGTCATCAGATTTTGAATTTTCATCATTCGGGTGGTTAGAACCACTTGTTGCCATCTAGGAAAATAAAATAAAATATAACAAAAAGAAAATTCATTAGTCTTTAAATAGTGATTGATTGTCTATTGCATCAGTTTTTCGTCACAAAATATGATGAAATAAAAATAAATAAAAATTTCTCCGACTTGACTAATGACTCATTCAATTATTTCGATTGGCTTCTAATTAACTATTTAATAAATTATCAATTGAAAATCGTAATGAAATTTCAAATAATCATTTCATTTATATTTTTCAATCTTAATGTGTTTTCACTAATTTGATTTTTCATTGGTTGATATTTGAACCAATAGAAAATGCTTAGTTACTCGAGAAGCTGTAGTTACGCACGGAAGAATAGCTGCGTTATTTGTGCTTTCAACAATGGTAAAGATATTTTAATCTTCGCTTTTAATTATTATTAATTTTCTAGCCTCGGCCATCAACTGCATCAAGTAAAGGAGGAAAAGATGAATCGGTTCGAGTTGTTGTCCGATGCCGTCCGATGCCGTCCGATGGATGATAAAGAACAAGATAGAGTAAGTGGGGGTAAGTGTAAAATGAAAAATAGTGTGCCTTAGAATAATTGCGATAACTTTTTTAGTTTTGATTTAAAAAAAAAGTTTCGGTCACAAGACCCCTAGCTAAGATGACA